ATCATAAGCAGTATAGTACAGTTACGTAGAAAAATATCCCTATACGTGTAATATAAAAAATTCATATGTATGTGATATTTACTTCTAAAGTTTAGGAAGCAAACCGTGAAGAAATATTATTTTACGAGGCCGTTAGCATGTTTCCTCGAGTTTTGAAAAATTTTCCAACAACCGCAGGCAAAGCCTCGATGTGATTTTTTTTTTCTATGGTTGTGTGCGTGAGTGCGTGAGTGCGTGAGTGCGCGAGTGCGTGAGTGCGTGAGTGCGTGAGTGCGCGAGTGCGTGAGCGAGTGAGTGAGCGCGCAAGTCGTGTATATGATTACGTGCGTGCGTGCACGTGTGTACGTTTGCTCGACCGTGATTAGTGTTGTGTTTTGGATTGCGAACGTATTGGCGTGTATGCGTTGCCGTGTGTTGCGAGTGTAAATACGGGCGGTTCTCAACGGCCAGAGGTTCGCCTGTACACTGCAGGACTTTGGATGTTGGCCGAAGTCGAGGAGGTTGAGCGCAGCATCAGCGCGAGGTTGTTGACTACGGCTTTCCTCTGGCGGCCAGTGATGCCCAGGCAAAGGTCGATCGAGGAGCCGTAGGGCTCGAGCAATCGGAGCCTTGTGTTCCGGAGCATCGACGATGACACTCCGTAAAGTTTAAGAACAACTCGCGAAGTCACATCACCGCACCGAGTCCGCGACACTGCTGATCCGCAGGTGCTTCTTTTTCCTCTCTCTCCTCTTTGTTCAATGGCTTCTTCGTTGAGCCGAGGAGAGTCGAGACGATCGACAACCATCGCATATGCATATACTTGAGAACCGCGGTATCATATGCATGTGGCTCCGCGCGTTGAGAACGCACGCTACAGGGGCCCGTAATCTGCTTTTTTTAGCTTTAAAATTCGCCCAAAAATCGTCTGCTAACGAGTTCAAAAATTTCCGGCACAACTGCGGATCCTAACCATCATTGAGCACTGCCTCGATTATAATATCCCATAGCTTTTGTTTCTTTCGTGTGCGCTGCGTATTATCAATAGCTGGCATGCGTCGTTTGCTATTACTCAAATTTATGATTTAACGCAGTATCTGCCATTCGGCATTTACGAGCCATTTTCAATGGACGACCTAACCCTTTTACCTCATAGAATTGTATTTCTAATAATTGAAGTAAATTCGATAAAATACATAATAAACAACTTGCTAATTGCATAAATTAATTGTCTTTTAGTTCTCTTTCTGTGCTCAATTATAAGTTAAATTTAAATCATATATAGGTTCGAAATTTGCAATCTTTTTATTCTCGTATAAAAATGAGCTGCCGGTAATTAAATGCCATATGCCATATTAAAATGAATTAAAATTATTTTAGTTTAAATGAAAAATGGCTGATGTAGAACATTGTCAATTCTATTTGGAACGAAAAAAACGATATTGTCGAATGACTGTAAAGAAGGATAAAAGGTTTTGCGGCGAGCATCAGTCGAATTATAACGAACTAAACAAAATTATCAATGAAAGAATACCTTGTCCACTCGATCTTTCTCAGTAAGTACTGTTAAGAAAATTTCATTGCAATATTTGAGTTATGTTTGTTATAGATTAGAACCTTATAAAAGTTCTAGATTATTTACAGTACAATTTATAAGTCTAAATTATCCAAACACTTAAAAGTTTGCAATGCCAAGGTTAATGAAAGTATACAGCCAATATATATTGTCAAAGGAATTAATTTAGGAAAAAGTGCAATAAGCCCAAATGAAATACGATTACCAGAAATTGATCAGAGTATTATAAATATTGTTCTTAATAAAATTGAAAAGTCGTACGGTAAAAGAAAATATGATTATGTTATATTACAATGCATATTTATTGATTAAATTAGATTTTATTTGAATTATTAGATAAATTACCAGAAATACCGGAAGAAATATTGAAGCATGAAGTACTAGAAAAAGAATTAAGTAATCCAATATATGGAACTGAAGCCAAAAAACACTTATTGCAAGCGTCATCTTTACTAGGGCATTTAGCACAAGCTGACCTGATTAATGACAATACATGTTTTATTGAATTTGGAGCAGGTCGAGGTATAGCCTTAGCTTTAACATTAAAATATATATTATTCTTTATTATTTATTATTTATTATTTATTAATTGAAATTATTGTTTAAAAATAGTATTTAAAAGTATACATTTTTAAAGGTAAATTAACATACTGGTTAGTTCAAATGATAAAAGATCGAAGAAACACTTCGGTTGTGTTGATCGATCGTTCCAGTCATAGGCATAAAAGAGATAATAAATTAAAGAATGAGAAATTTGAAATAAACGTAACAAGAGTACGTGCTGACATTGGCGATATAAACTTAAATGACATACCAGCGGTTAGTGATATGCCAGTCAGGGTTGCATTTGCCAAGCATATTTGCGGCGCTGGTGCAGGTAAACCAAATATGTGAATAATTTTTTATAATAAAAAAAAAAATTTATAATAAATAGCTTCATTATCAGTGTTTCTATAACATTACAGATTTAACTTTTCGCTGTATGACAAATTTAATTAAAAATTGTAATGGCTCAAAAGTTGGAATAGTCGTTGCATTTTGTTGCCATCATCGTTGCGAATATTCCCATTACGTTGGCCATAACTATTTAGAAAACGAAGGGTTTACCAAAGATGAATTTCCAATTCTCTTCAAAATAGCCAGTTGGGCTACTTGTGGTATAAAACAGTACAATAAAACAGATTCTAAACGCGAATCTATAGGACGAAAAAGTAAAACCTTAATAAATTGGGGTAGATTAGAATATTTAAAATCTTTTGGATTTAATGGTCGATTAGTGTATTACATAACTAGAGATACGACTTTAGAAAATATGTGTATTATAGCAACATTTATAAGAAAAAATCCAGACGATAATTGAGTTTAATTTCAATATTTGGATACAAGCAAAAGCTTATATTCATTATTTGTGCTAAGGTAGGCTATTTAAGGTAAAATAAGTCTAGAATTTTTGCATTTGTCATTATGAAAATTGAACTTTGTAACAACTTTGTACAAAATAATCAAATAAATAACGTTTTTCACATAAATGTATTTTTAACAGTCATTCATCTGTAAATGAATAAAATTCCGTGCAATTATTAATTTATAAAATAACGCAATTTCCTTAAACGTTACGATTAATCAAACGGCAATTTCTAATATTGGGAAAAGAAACTGGACTAAATTTCAAACTAAAGTACGCCTCTAAAAAGTCATCTTTACATTTGTCGCATTTATAGGTTGGCTGTCGCTGTCCATTTGCATCCCCATGGCCTCAATATTCATTCGCTGCAGTTTGCCTTCTCATTTTTTTATAATCTATGTCGAATATTGCATCCACGCGTTCAATCCCCACCTCCGGCACCATAAGACGCGGCGGCGCGCCCCGCCCAAAACAAGTTAACTTAGTCTACGGGCGGAGAAACATTCCGTTCAATTATATTTTAGAACGAGCCCGAGCCCGAGTCCGAGCTTAATGCTTAATGCTTAATGCTTAATGTTTTCCGCCAGTCCGTTACCATTTATAACAATAACAAAGGCTGAATACAAAAACAAAACGTATAGTATAAAGGCAAATAATTGAACGCTGTTTTTTAGTTCGGTAAGTGAAAAAAGTATTATCCAAGCACACAACACCTTGAAGGTCCATTGAATAACGTACTTTTGGGCTTGGCTCATCTCATCTCATCTCATCTCATTTCTCCACCGTATCTTAAAAATCCAATTGCATACATTAAATGTGCATTAGATAATGCATATATTATTTTTGAATATACACGATCGATTAACTTTTTAATAGATGAAAAGAAAAGATGGAGTGTTTTCATTTCAATCGCATTTATATTGAGATGAATAATCGATCCTTTAATAATAATTAACAATATTTTTATGTAATAGCTTAAATTATGTGGCTTGCATTTTTCGTTTATCGCTGAGACAAAGTTATCAAAGTAAATTGCGATTTAAAATTATTGTTTCTTTTTCAGAAGTAAGAGTTAAATTTATGAAATGTCTATTCTAGACGACCGTGACGCCTTCAGAAGAAATCCATATTTTCACCCAGAGGATCAGATAAAAGGTGACTTCACTCCATTCTACGTTGCTATCAGCATCTGCTCCGTTATCGGTGGCTTTTTAATAATCATCAACATTGCATTCTACTACTGTTCACAATATAAAAGTTACTGGCGAAATCGGCACACTGGTAGTTTCCTTATTTATTTTAGCACTTTATTGAATTGAAATTCATTAAGCTTTATTCGCTTCACATAACATGAATTGTTAAAAATCCTTTTATCAAATAAATTTTTCTAAATTTTATCGAATTTAAAATGTATCCATACATGAATTATTATGACTTTTATAATAATAATAATAATAATAAAAGTCATAATAATTCACAAATTAATAATAAAATAAAATGTAAGAATCTTATATCACTTACAAGCGTTCACACGGTTCAAAGTTACAAATAAAGATTAAATTTTTTTTTAATACAAAGCTGCACTTATCGCCAAAATATATAATATCTTTCCAGAAAAATTGGCAATGAATGAATTAATTTTATTATAATTATTGTATTAGGTAATCGTTGGATCCAATCACTTTGGACCGTAACGCCGCACAATAATCCTCCTCTTGATTTATCCGAGTTAGAAAAGGGTATTAAAACATATAAATCTGATATTCATGAGGTAGTACAGTACCAGCAAGAAGAAATTGAACGTGGTACGCAACAACCGCAACAGTATATAGAACTACAAAAACGAGAAAGTGATATTTAAGTTGATTGGATTAATATTCAAGATTAAAAGATTCGTAGAACAGTTGTTAACAATAAGTCAATAATGAGTCTTCATATATTTTGGCCGGCTTCTGCTGTCTTGACGATGTTTATCATAGGGGTTATAATGATTTTGTTAAAATATGGCCCACGCATTTGTAAAGTTAGACACGAGCCATTGCCTACCGAACAAGATTGGGAAGGTAAAACATATTCTCGTGAATTATCAGTTTCAGTAGCTTGATGCAATTAACGTAAAAGAATCATTATATGCCTTAAACGAACGTTTATTGTCTTTGAGACTTCAAAATTGTTGAAAAAAAATCATTTTACCGAAACTTATCCTTCAAATACGTATAGCTCACGTCCCGCATAAAATTGTACAGTTTGATCATTTAATATTCTACAGATTATCATTCCATAAATTTTAAAGACAATATCTGTTCAATTATGAGATCAATTAACTGCTTCGTAAGATTTAATATACACATTGATGCACTAGATTTTTCTATCTTCTTATTAAAGAGAATATTTAACATTATTGAATTCAAATTTTGATACTACTAATTATTTAATGTCAAAATGTGCCTGCTAGTTAATTTAACGATTCCGTCCATAAGTATGTTATTATATCTAATATCTAATAATTAAGAATTTTATTTTATATATGAATATTATGAAATGAAAAATGTAAATCAAGTTTATAAACATGACAAAAAGTTTTAAGATTTTGATAAATACTTTGCTCGTTTATATAAACAATAAAGAAACTTGGAAGAAACATTACAAGCATTACAAATTGCCTATATTTATAATGCTTCTGAATTTTTGTATTAAAAATATTTGTATAAATAAAAATCATCAAACAATTTGAAAATATTTCCAGAACCTTTGTAATTTAAGGAATTTTTATATCGTCATATTAAACAAAAAAAAAATTTTTTTTTTTTACCTCACCTTAAGTAGTTAATAAGCTAGATAAAACATATTTGTACAACATTGAATATTAATAAACTGATGTTTTATGTAATCGATTTATCTTATTTACATCTATATGTTGAGTAGTAAAAATAAAATGAAATTAATTAAGATGTATTGTAAGTTGAAGTTTATTAGACTTTTAATAGAATATAATTGAAATTGTTTTTCGTACTACACGAAGTAATTAATGAATTTACTTAAAGTAATAAATAAAAGTGAATCGTTACTCACGACATCACTACATAAATACATGTTTGCGCAGGAATAGGTTGATTCTTCGAGACAGGATAATTGAATTCTCTCTTTTTTTTTTTTTTTTTTTTTTTTTTTTTTTTATTTTTTCTTTATTTTCAATTTTCTTCAATGATCAACGTCTACAATACAACAATTCGTGAATACAGATAGTACAAGAAACGTTGAAACTTTCGCAGAAATAAGAAAAAATACGTAAAAATGTTAACATTATATTTATAGAGACCAATTATTAATAAAAAAAAAAAATAATTTCTATTTCTTCTATCAATAATTATTTCACTATAACGACAGAAATATACTTATTGATTTTGATTACTTTTTTTAATTATTTTTTTACGTATATTTTAAAACGCCGAGCATAAGCATCGACGAGAATCAGTGTCTTTCTTTCTCTCTCTTTCTACAATTCTTCATCAAAATGAAAGTAGGAATTTAAAACATAAAATTAGCTTTAACTTCGAATAAGATTTTTTTTTCTAGATTCAATTTCTAATTTCAAACGACAATAAATATTTTACATTACGATTTACTCTTACATTGTATTAATTTTCATAGTCCCAATGAGTAAAAAAATAATGTATTTATCAACTCATATAATATATAATTTTTATCCCATGAAAAAAAAAAAAATAAATAAAAAATAAAATAAAAATAATAAATATATAAAATAACATTATTAATTATCAAATTAATTGTGTTATAAAAAATTTCATTTTTAGTCGAAACATTAGAAGTTACGTTATATTACGCTGGAAAGAGACGTTAAAATTTTCAAAATTGATATTTAAACCTTATCTCTAATTATTTTTGCCCTAATGAATAGAATCTTTTTGGAATCTAGACTAAGAGAAGAAATATTTGAGCGCAATATTTTCATTTTTAAATTGTTTTTTTATAACAGTAGACGTCTAAGGATTCTGAATAAAATTGGAGTTAATAGGTCGTTAGGGTTTCCATGTAGAACATAGGTAAATACTATCTTTATATAGACTATTCCATAACTTTTTATTACTTGTGTATTTATTTTGATGATATGGTGCGTTTTTAATTGTTATCTATATTCGTTTGTCTACTTACTAGAAACAAGAGGATTAATAAAGTTTTTTTACCAACTGAATTTCGATTATCGTGTATTCTTCTGAGTTATTTCTTATGAGTTTTTTTTTCATAGATAACGTGATTTACTTTCACACTGCTCAATTTGTACGCTCGATAAAGCAAGAATATAAATCAAAGATCTTTTATTTAGTGACATATCTTATTTTCACTTTTGATCATTCACATTTGATTATTCGATCCTGTATAAATGATAAAATTTTTATTATACGTACACATTGAAAGTTTTACACTTTGGCATAAGAAATCGGATACCTTACAATTACTGAATCACTCGGACGTACAAATTAAAATCAGCTATTAAATTGTCGTTTATTGTATATCTTTCTACGTGTATGTATATATAACACATATTTGTCAGTTTAATTGAGCTTTATAAGATAATCGCCCGAGGAAACTTTGATACATCTGCTCTGTGAAGAAGACACATTGAGTTTCTCGTTGAATAAATTACTTTTATTTTTTAGTTATTTCTTTTTTTTTTTTGCTTTGATTTTTATGCTCAACCGGTACGTGACGCGAATGCAAAAAGAAAATATTATTCATGCAGTCTTCTATGTATTATTTGATTTTGGAATAAATGCGAAAATTATTTTGCACCGCGTCATTGACTTATACCGTTCCGATATTGGTTAATGCAGAGTAAAGGGAGGGGGGGGGGTTCTCCAAAAGTTATTGGTATGCTTATTATATTATTATATCAAAAAATTAGTTGTAATGGATATCTCGCTTCTCGCTTAAAAATTATTTTCTACTTCTTTTACGTTTTTCCTTTTTTTATCTTTTTTTTTCTTTTTTTCGTTTTATTACTTTTACTGGTGATAATTATTATAGAGAAAGACTCGAGTGCAGTGCATGATTCCGTAAGTACGCGTTGTATATTTTCATCAACTTATTCAGAATTACATCATCGCTCGAGTAACTTACGCACTGAGAAAATCAATTTATAATAAAAATTACAATAATATATTTGATAATATTTGTTCAATATAACTGAAAATTGTTCGAACAAAATTTCTTCTCGGTGAATCGAAGCACTTGAAATGTGTGACAATAGCCTGGTTTTTTTTTTATTTTTTAAAACAAAAGTTATATTTATGCACATTTTTTCCTTCTAATTATTATCATATCTATATTTTTATAGATACGTTTCGCTGAAGATTACATTCATCATTCAATTTAATGTAAAATCGAATAACGAGTTTTTTTTTTTTTTTTTTTTTAAATTAAAGAGAAAAGTTTTCACATGTATTTAGATGTTTATAAATAGTACGAAGGTATTTTTCACAAGATAATGTTGAATAAATGATAGATAATTGTTTTGGCTCTTCGAAAAGAAAAGTTAATCAAGGCCCCTTGTATAGTGAAATAAAAAAAGACAAATCGTAAAATTCAATGCACAAATAATATTTTAAAACTTGTACACTACATTGCTTACACTTAAGAAAGATATTCTCGTTTTATATTTAAAAGGGAAATTTGCTACTTTATATGAGAAAATACAAAAAATAAAGCTGTCCGATCCGCGTTGTTTTTGTTTATTTTTTATTTATTTATTTATTATTATTATTTTCTTTTATTATTATTATTATTATTATTATTATTATTATTATTATTATTATTATTATTATATTGAGGAACGGTGTTAACAGCTTCGTATTAAGAAATCTGATGGAAGTACATGATTCGAAAAATCGACATCGCAATCGTGTTGACGATTTATTCATTATGTATATATACACACACGCACACCAAGATACAAACAAGCATTTATATGTGTATATATACAATAACTTTTACCTTCATATTAACGCTTATTTATTCAAAAACTACGTATATTGAATAATCTAAAATCTAGTCAATTCACCACGCATCGGCCAACTCACTGCTGTATATTTTTGCTTTAAATTTCAAATCGTCAACACGTGACGATTGCGTGATGAATATATATTTTAATTTTTGTTTTTAAGTAAAATCTCGTATTTTGATGTGTAGAATACGACACCATATTTGCAACAAAAAAAAAAAAAAAAAAAAAATCGCAGTGCTACCTATTCTGCCTTTTGAAACTTTATTTTGATCGTTCGTATGACAAAAAAACCAAGTTTTATCAGCATGCAAAAGGCGTACATTTACAGTATTTCATACTGTGCAAGTCTTCCGGAGTTTTATGCAAGAATAAGAAAGATGCTTGCTCTTTTCTCTTGTTTTTCTCATTAAATTTTTTGTTTAAAGAGAATTATGTGCATGTATTATCATTCACAGGGAATGCATCTTTCGCGTTTAAAAAGAGCTATGAATTTACGCAATAGTTTGTTTTCATTTTTTATCTATACCTTGAAATTTACTCAATGCATTTTTCTTCTTCTTTTTCTTCTTCTTTTTCTTCTATTAATTCTATTCTCCTTTCTTTTTCTTGCTGATTCAATTTCAATTATATTACTGGTAGGCTTATCGATTGTAATGCTCTTTCTTTTTCATTTATCAAGTCGTCATCGTAAAACTTCTTTATAGCTTTAGAAAGTTTTTGTGACATTAACGCCTTCGATTTTAACCAGGCGGTTATTCAGGTTCGATCTTACTGTTGTTTGCTAGTTTTCTTGTTCGATCGGTCTGCAAAAGAAAGACACGGAGATGACATTAAATGTTATTGTTATGACATTAAATTATCTATCATAATTTACATCATCATAATTACAAAAAATATTTTTCTACATTGATTTAATAATCGATATGGAAAATTCATCAAACATTTCCGTATAAAATATATTTGAATTCTATTATATTTGGCTATTGGAAAGTTTTCCGTAGTAATTTATTATCATTATTAAAATTATTATTTTACCGTTTAAATCTTTTATTCTATTTTAATTATATTCTATATCGTAACCTTTACAACCAAGATTTTTCGATTAAAATGTGAAAAAAAAAAAAAATTATAACATGCTTTAATGCGAATATCATCACAAGATAATGGCAAAATAATTATTATTTTATAAATATACGAGCTTATGATTATACTTAAGGTTTTTGTGTATTATATAAATTAAAAGAAAATATTATTTCCTTGATAATATTAATTTATGTATAAATAAAAGGCAACCGTATTACACTAAAGTAATTAGTTTATTAAAAAATATATATTTCAATATGAAGAAAATTTTCTTATAATTGTAATTATAATTAAAATAACATTTTTTTTTATACCAATTTTTGTTATGAATATATGGCAAGAAAGTCATAAAATACGTAATTTAGTCGCTTATGACCAAGAGGCTAATTAAGTCAATGACAATTTATAAATGAATTTTAAACAATAATTTTTTTTACAGCAATGATATTTCAATTATGATACATTAATTTTTTTTACTAAAAAATTTTATAGGTTCATAAATACTAAAAGAAATATTTTTTGTAAACTTGTAAACGTAATAATGGCTACTTTATATATATTTTATATCACTACGTAACTGAATTGTCCATTCACCTAGCATATAGAGATATAGGGTAAAATAGTTTTTTTTTTTTAATTTTGTTAAATCTTTAGTAAAACTATAATATTAAACTCGCGTAAATATTGTACCTTTTACGTATGGTATCGTTACCTTTTATTTAACATCCCATTAATTCACATAAATCTTGAAAGAATTTTTTATTCCAATTGCCTTTAAGTATTTACTAAAAGTATTTTATATAATCAAAATACGCACCTTTTGTGGCTTTTTTATTATTAGCTTCTGGTTTACATCTCTTTGTAATACGACGCGTTTTCTCACAAGAAGGGTCGCTATTCGCTTTTAAGTTATCAACGCGCACCATACTTTGATTGACACAATTTGCCCAAGTTCCTTTTTCGTATCTGCAAGCTATAAATAAAATAGATAACTTTTGTAATTGTCAGTTTTGAAATTTTGAAATTTTGTTTTGAATTTTAGAGTTGCTATGTAAGTTGCCACGATTTACAAATATCGAACAATTTTCGGCATAAAAATTTTTAACTTTAGTAAAATTTCGCAATTTCGCAAAAATTTACTTAAATTTTAGTTAAATTAATTATGGATTAAGTATAAATTAAATTTTAAATTTAAAGTATTTGAATAATAATATTTTAAATGACTATATTGTATTGTAGCTTCTTATAGTGAATGATTTAATACAATTCTGATTTTAATTGCCTTGAACTTCATCAATCACATTAAAAAGATAAATCAACAATATAACAACAATATATTTATACTTTCTTTATTTATTCAATATATTTGAAAATATGCCATTATACTATAATTTTTAACAATTATTTGAAATATCGTTTAAGCTAAATTTGCATTTTGAAATGCAAATAGCAATTTGATAACAATTTGAAATGAATTATTCAATGTGAATTTTAGTAAAATAGATTTAACGTTTTACATTAACAGCATTAATTACAATTTTTCTTAAAGTACAATAATCATTTTAAGTTCAATTTAAATTTATTACAAGCAATATTTAATACAAATGTACAGTTTTACAGACAGGGTTTTACAGACTGAAAAACTTTTAAAAAAATTATTAACACTTGGCACAAAATTTATTTTCATTATGACTAATTTATCGTTAATACAACTTTTTATCCAAATTTTAATTGTTTCTAACTTTACGGTTATTTACACTAATATTAAAATCCATAGCTACTCCTCATCAGTGGATGGAATTGCAAATTGCAAATAAAATAAATTTAATAATTGTTACAATAGTTAGAAATTAGCATAAAATTAATGTATATAATTTATGCATATACATAATATTAAAACATTAGAAAAATCATAAATATTATATATATATATATATATATATATATATATTATAAAAAATCATATATATTAAAAAATATCGTTAACCTATTATAATATAATTCAATTAATCTTATTATCGATTATGAAAAAAATATGTGTGTATATTTGTTTATTGTGTGTGCATTCATTTATCAGTTTCACTTATTTATATAAATTAATTAGAAATTAAAAAATATAATAACATATATATATATATATATATATATATATTTACTCTGTTTCGTATTATTATAAAAAAAAAACCCGTGACCATCCGATAAGGCCTCTGTATTATATTTTTCAAAAAGTTAAAATTATTTGTTTCTACATAATTTATAAATTAATAAATACACTAAAATTTAGTAACTGTTTCTATTATTACTTTATTTATTTATTATAATCTAAATATGTATCAAATCTATATTAATAAAATTTATAACGTATATGCAACTTATTTAAAAGAATTAAAATATGTTAATTAAATTATGGATTCAAAACCTTTTTCTTAAAATGCTTCGAGTGTCTTACTATGAAAAACATAAGCATACAAGTATTGCTTAAATATTCTTAGACCGCAAATTACAATAACTACATTAATAATATAGAAACACGTGTGCAGTAAAAACGTATATATATTTTCATTGTTAATAATAAAATAATTGCAATTCTAAAGAAAAATTTCTTCGCACCGATTGATTGATAAGAAAATCGTAATATGGTTATAAAGCTTTTAAATATTCACTTTGTTTCCTAACTACTATTTCCTAACTCCCTATTAACCATTTTAAATACAGTTATTATATCGTTTAATGTTAAGAGATTACAAAAAAAAAGAAAGGAAAAAGTCAATAGACGTAAGAATAAATATTTACTATTGCTAAGGTTGTAATTTTAAAAAATCTTAATATTGCGTAGAGTATTAGAAAGGAAACGTGTAAAAGCGATAAAATCGCGAATTAAATTTAGAATCCGATAAGAGTTCTTTTGACTGGTGTACGTTCGGTACATTAACATTCTTGTCGATATCGTCACATAATATCAACACCGAAATCTCTAACATTTGTTTAAGTCAAATAACGAGCTACGGACATTATTGAAATAGATAGTCTTCTACTTGATCTTTTAGGAATACAGTTATGCTGAACGAAATTGTAAATCAGTCTCAAAATCGAATTTTACATTTACATCAAATCGATTTTTACAATTCGAAGACTATAGTGCGTTGGCACATATGTTACTGCTTTGACGTTACCTTTACCTTTCTTGCATTTCTTCGTGATGACTTTGGTCTGCTCACACATCTTGTCGCTCTTTTTGAGGGTGAGGGTGCGCGTCCGCATGTTGGTTTTGGGATCGCAGTCGGACCACTGACCCTTACTGTATCGACAGGACGTAGAGACGCTGCTGCCGCCACCACCAGATGCTACATCCATAACAATTAATAAATACGTTACTTGGCTTTCGAAGCATTCGATAAAAATTGTAATTGCTTTAAACGTCTCTGCTCATTGGCCAAAATCCGAAAGTTTTTTCTGTCTTTTTGTATTCTGCTTCATTTTTTTTTCTTTTTTTTTCGTAATCGTTATTGCTTTTCCTCCAAATTATGTACATTTGAAGGATACGAAGGAATAAAATGTTATTGTATTCAAAATTAAATTCATCACCTATTTTCACTACGCGTGGCAATAGCTTTTTTAACTCCTAATACTCGATTCCATTGAATTTTTCGCCAATCAATCATACACTAACCAGCCTTTGAATTTTTTTTGTTAATACTTATACTTATCATTAATTTAAATGTCTCGAGTTTCTTTACCAATAACTTTATTTTTATATCGCTCTATCAAATATCTTTATAATCTAAACGTAAACATAAATATATATTAAACTTCTGCTTAATTACTCTATCAACTACTATTGTTAAAAATAATTCTTAAATATATAGAAATTCTTATAATATTAATTTATTCAAATTGCGATCATACACGTGCGATGTTGATTGTCAGATATATCATTAATATTAGATTTTTATTTCTGTAGATCAAACTTGCAATTGCATATTTGTTATTACGTTCTATCATTTACAAATCTCAATGGATCAAAATTTGAAAATTAAATAAATAATAATATAGATAAAAGTAATTCAGAATTTTATACGAATTAATTGATATAACGATGAATGATTAAAAACAGAAAATAATTGAATTGCTTCATTATTCATTTCACTATTCTAATAGAAAATAAATATAATAACTGCTACTAACGAAGTCGATTAAAACTAAGAAATACTTTTTCATAATATTCAACAACTTTTATTTAATTCCTCCGTACCTAAAAAATATCTAAATCAACAAAATACAAAACCTAAAACAAAATAAATAAAATAAATTAAAATATAATGAATAAATAATAAAAAATTTTCTCACAAAGATTTAATGCTTACATAATATAATCTTATAGAATTATTAAAGATAATACTTTATTCGAACTACCGAGTTACTACTGAACACTACAATACTTATGCTTTTTTAAAATTTTTTAATAATTTTATGCCTTTACCAAAATTCGGAACTATTGAAATACTCCCCAGGTAAAAGCATTTTATAAATGACATTTTTGTTTATCTTCATTTAAATATGCAACAAGTTTAAATAGAACCTTCAGATGGTTATGTTTGCCAATCATTGAAATAAAGACGATTATATTTAGTTTATATTTCACTTAGCTATTGATAATTTATATAGTCATTAAAAATTATATACAATTTGTCTTTAAAAAGCATTTTAAAAGTCGTTATTTGAAAAAGAAAAAAACATAATATTATAGTAAAGCTACAATAAATAGTATAAAAGTATTTTGTCATTTTTCACGCTTTAGTTAACACAAATATCGTCAAATTATTTTTTATTAATATTTTAACTATTCAAATTTTTTATTTTCAATTTATTCAAAATTTTAAAAGGTAAATTGTCATTTTTTATAATAAAACTAAGAATAATAGACGTTTAGAAGTTAAAAACAATTAAAAAAAAGGAACAAACAGGTATCGAAGAGTAATAATATTTTTATAGGAAAAAATGATAAATGAAAATTAGCAGAATTAATTAAAAATCTCACCGAAAATTCGTATAATTTCAAATTAGCATAATTAAAAAACTGAACATCGATTTAGTATGATAAGTGAGCTTATTGAAATTACAAATTATTCCGACAATATCCAACAGTCGAACTAGGGACGAAATACTGATTATTTAATATTCTTAAAACTCATTAATTAAAAATTATTCAGTAAATAAAAAAATTATTATCTAGTATTACATAAATAACATAGTATAATACTTGAGCTTCGGATTCATATTAAATACATGAATTATCGCATATATAAATGAAATTAATACGTTCAATTTCTCATGATTATAATTAAAACCTTAAATTCACTGCATTTAATTACAAATATACTAGAAATTTAGAATTCAGTCATTTTTCTAATTTTTTTTTTTATTTTAAAATAAACTAATTTAAGATTAGTTTTTCAAATAAATATTTTGTAAAAAAATGTTACATTTTAAATTCAATCAATGCAATGTCATTATAAACAATATATGAAAGAAATACACATAATCAAAAATAAAATTTGAAAAGATTAATGATTATATAATTTACTGAATTTAGTTAGCAATTCAATGTAAGTCTAATAGTATTTTAGCACAAGTTATAACGAAAAGCTAAAGAGTATTTTGAAATTTAATTGGTCGAAATTTCGTATATATTCCTAATCTATAATAATTATTTATAAGTTTATTCGGCATTCAGACAGAACTTTAACAAGTCGATGAAAAAAATATATCATATATTTAAAAGCATTTGAAATTTTTTTTTTAATATTTATTAAACAGAATGAATATCTTCAGTAATGTATTATAAAAATTATAATTTTTTGAATATGAAAATTTAATTATTACCAATTTTAAAATAAATCAAATTTACAAAGCATTATAGTTTTTGAATATGTCTATATATATATATATATATATAATTCTTGAATGTGTATGTATATAACTTATGAAGAGGCTCATAAATATTTTGAAGAAAAAAAAAGATAATGATGGGCCAAATAGGTCTGAAATTTTATTTTAAATAATTGATTTATATACCCCGTTCCTTGGTGCCGCGAATTGATCGTACAAGAACTTCTTTGTCATCCTCTTCCCAAAGATCAGACTCTACATTTGTCGCACAAACTATCATCGGTAGGGCGACGCTTATTAATATCAAACTCCACCACAGCTTCATTCTGAACTCTAAAAATACAAAAATTATGCATTATTATACAAAAATTAAATTAAGAAATTGCAGTCTTTCAATTTTATCAAATATAGATATTAATCAACACCAGAGCAAAAATATTGTTTAATGCTTCTTACATATATGCTTATTTATAGATGTTTTTTAAGGGACTGATAATAAAAACATTTGCTCTATAAAATAAATATTAAATCAAATTATTAAAATTAAATAATAAAATTTTCTCTTTTATATTATTATAAGATATAAAAAATGAAATCGTACGATAAATTTAATTTTTTAATGCATTTTTAAATATTTTAATAAGAATAAAGTTACTTAAATGCATAAGATTTATAGTGTATAATTATCGATCCAGTGAATAAATCGTCCTCAATATAAGAAATACTTCTAGAAAATTCTTAATTCATTTAATAAAATTATAAGCATACAAAAACAGAGCTATTATTGTATTTTGTATTTTCCGTACCTTTTTATATTGGTACTCTTGTACTCAACTTCATAATAATTAAATTTAATAACCGTCAGTAAGAAATCTATCTCATCCTTGCTTTAGCAATTTTTTTTTAAACGGTACATATTTATATGTGCAAAATATTTTAAAAGGTCTTATAATTATAGTGATATAGAATATACATATAATAATGATACACAATTAAAAAAAATATATATAGCAGTAACAATTATGATATATTTATAGAGTAAGAGTAGTTAAGATAATTTGAAATTATAGTTTTTAATTAATAAAAATTTATTTAAAAATTATAGTAATACTTTCGTTACCTTTATCTTTAATTAATCCAATCGTAAATGATCGCCTTTAAATTATGTAAAGCCTTTTCTTTTGATTTTTGAAAATTAAACACACAATAGAGAATACTTGCATGCAATCATTGATAATTTTTGAAAATTCTAAAAATTCAGCAATATAAAACTAATAAGCAATGAAAAAATAGAGTATTCTTTATTTATGGTATTTATTTAAGTTGGTTTGTGCAACTTAACCTGAACAGATCTTCATTATTTAAAGATTAAAGTAAAAAAAAAAATAAAAATAAACGTGCTTAATTAATAATTTATAATAAATTTTAAGTGTGAATTTAGATTACTACTAATTTAATACGAGGATTTTGAATCAAAGAGATTAAACTCTCTGTTGTGCACTTTAATTTTAGTTACCGGAAAACAGTTCTTAAAGCTTTAGATATAAATTTGTTTCTTGTGATCTTAATAACTTCAAATACTTTATTAATAGAGATCAATAGTAAATGTAATGGTTTTCCAATGAAATAAATTTTAATCGGTTTATTAATTCTGAATAAAAAATATAATTGTATCTTTAATGATCTTACAGATTATTCCAATCATGGTTTCGCTCTTTGACACCTTAAAAATAAAACACATGTTTTACTAAAGAAAATATAATGCATTTTATATCCACAATAATAATAATTGAATAATTTGATATATGATTAAAGTAATGCTTAATTTAAAAAGAATGAATATATTTATACATAAATTAAAAATATAAATGTACTTATAAACTAGTTATGTTTATTAATAAATATAAATCATATAATAAATATAATTCATATATTATTCATATATTAAAAATAAATTCTATATGATGCTTATCGAGACTTAAGAAAATCAAGTTATGGAAAATATATGAAGAATATATGAGAATATAATAAGGGTAATAACGATAAAATGACAAAAATATGAAAATTTCATAAAATAATAAGTATAATGGAAAATTATTGAATTATAGTAATTTCATAAAATTATAAGAATAAGAGTAAATATTAATTTGAAGAAATTTTTAGCCAAAAGTTCAGAAAATTGCAGATTGTGTGGTTAATAATTTAATCCTTTAATTCTTAGCATCACAACTAAACAAATTCTCAAATGAAGCTTCATCAAAATACAAGAATGAAATAACATAGACTAAAGATATTACAACATTTAGCATACGACTTATAAAGACAGACGAATTTTCAGTCCAAAATAAATAAATGGGAATAAACATTTACAGAAAAACAAAATGTAAATGCATGAATATAAAATACCGATATGCTGATAGCAAAAGGAAGCCTTGATTACTTTTGTACATAGTAAAAATAGCAACAGAACGAAATAAGAGTGATTCCATATGAAAAATTAGTTTCAAAGAGTTCAACAGTCAAGTCCAAGGACAGACTCTTTGACCTTTTCTCTTATCTCACCAAGGGGTACCACCAAAGTGGCATGTTCTCTTCGGCTGGTTAACGTTAAAATAAATACATCCATGAACCGAAAGAAGTGAAAAAGGTCAGGCAGTCGTCCCTTTTATCTTAATGCATCTATTTGATAGAGGCAATTTTCAATCGCAGGAAGTTCATATAAACTTTCATCATGCATTACATTAAATTAAATTCATTTTACTCGGGCTTCGGGCGTCACAAAAATGAATTTCAAGTCGTAGTAGTTTGCATGGTATAGCTATGTCTATAGTCCATGCACTTTGAAAACTCAATATTTGAAATTTTATATATTTAAAATTATATAAGGGGCATTGAAAACTGCGCAACAATAGATATTTATATATAGCTAAGCAACTTTACTAAATAGCTTTATAATTATTTATTTTGTATGCTTAAGGTATAAGGTATTTTATTATGAATATTCAGTTTATTTCCCTTCATATATATATATATATATATATATATATATAAATTCTCATATAATAAACGTGAAAATAATCACATTAAAATGTTATATAAGACCAATCAATGCCAAAGAATATAAATGAAATAAATGAAATAATTAATAAATAAATTGCATTGTAAATAACACAAAAAAAATTATAGTTGATATATGTTTTAATTTTTAATATAATCCAGAAGAAAATAAAAATCTACAGAATAATATAAAATAATAATAAAATATTATAATTTCCATATTGATTATAAATATCTATTGTATTGGTAATTCGGACTTGAATGTGGAAGAGTTCGAGAAATGAATAATTACATCAAACTAGAAAAGACAAACTTTGCTTTGCAATGAATGCATTGCGTATTGGTATTCCAATTTACTTACCATATATACGCCATTGAAAAATGTATCTCAAAATTAATACGCATTGTGTTTTAATGTGACTAGTATGTTTCAAAATTATGGGTCCAATTAGCTAAACGATAACTTCCGTCTTCCGCTATTTTCTGCAGTAATGTCTCTCTTCCTTCGGCTTTTATCGAAATCTATAACCGACACTTTTGATACCCTCTCGGCAATCTTGCTAAACGTACTAATGGAACGTGTATACGTTAATCGATAAACAAATACATATCTTAAGTATCCATTTAATATTTATCTTAATTTGCATTTAACTATTGGCAAATCTATTAATAAAATGAATTTTTACAATTGATTTTTAATTGAAATTAATTTAAATCAACTTTCATTTAACATCAATTTTATCATGAAATGTGATTTTTTTTATTTAAAAGTTACAGTCTTATGATCAAAATTATTGATTACAGTATAATATTATTATCTCTAATAAATTATTGTATTTATTATGGTGTACTTTGGAACAAACAGGCCCATTCGATCATAAAAATTTGACACGCGCGTACACGAAAATAAAATTACCAACCGAATTATTACGCTGAAGGCATAAAATATGGATGCATCTATTACAAATTTACAATTACGTAGAGATATATAATAATTAAAAACAAAAAAAAAACAAAAAATAAAAAAAAACTTTATGATTTAATATATACTACAAAGTACGCATGCACAGAGTCAATGCCGGTGTAACACAGCTTTTTATAGGGTTCTAAAATTAACTTGTATCATCAAGTCTGACATCAGGGCTTTTCGCCAATAAACCTTCTTATAAATTGTTGGCAATTATTTGTCCGACAACGGATTTTTCATAAGTAATTAAGCGCTGACTTTGGGGAGAATGACAAGAAGATCGATTGATTTGACTTTTGTCACAGAATGCGAATGAACCGTCGGAGCTAACGATGGGCTTTTATTCAAATACCACTTCACAGCGACGTCGAGGTCCTATTCTTTATCAAATGTTACGGATAAGCACGACCAAGTGCGGCAATTTACAACTTCGCATATCCCGGAGACAGATGATTAAATAGGGAGTACGCGTATTACTAGCATCCGGACGGCCACTATCAATTCATTTATCGAGCTATAAAGTTCAAGTAAAAGTTACGCCCGCGCTCCGGAGCTTTCAGCGATATTCCGAAAAGTTCCGCGAGCGCAGCGCTATTTATAAATTTACTTTTTGTCCTCCTGCTTTTTGCCCACCCACTCGTCGTTCACCAATTCTAACTTCGCCTTTTCCAAACCGCTCCATGACTCTAAGAGATTATTGCATTTTACATACGCGCCGCCTGACTTTCTTTCCCTCAAGATTATAATGCACACAATGCAATGCCCTACTGTGATATACGCTGCAAGTCCCGGATATATGCATTAAAATAAAGGAAATGAAAGCTCCTGTAGGTGCTGGAACTTCGTGAATGTAGAGCGATTAGCATTATTGCCTCCTTATAAGCGCCTTTGACACTTTTGTGATCAAGATCGGCGAGATGTCTGTATAAATTGCCCGATCACTATTTTGTCTCACACACACGCACACGCATTTTTTTTTTTTTTTAACAAGCTATTGTTAAAAATAAAACTATAACAATAATAAAGCCTGAAATAAATACTTAATTCGAGTTATTCTATAAGAGTAACTAAATTTAAGTGCCGCACTGCTCTAACGACATAGCCATCTTTTAATCAATCTACGGCGATACTTCAACGATATATTTTTTCATTCTCTATGTTAGATTTTATTTGTTACATTATATCCAATAAATTTTTCAACGATAAAATTTATTTAAAAATTTAGTATTCCAACTTTTTACAAATGTAATTTTGATCTTACTCAAGTTTATTTTATAATAAACTACTTAACTTTTAATATTAACTATAA